TTTCATATTACTAACATGAATATTAACTAGGCCTGTATTTATTTTGAAAACACATATAATACTATAATAACGCAGTAGGAACATTGATTGTAAATGAGTTTTTTTCTGTCACACAGGGTGAGTTCTGTGCTAAACAGAGATGTGAAACAGTTCGGGAAGAAGTTCATGTTTGATTCCAATGAGGAGACGTGCTGGAATTCTGACCAGGTGATTTTGCCGAGATGATGCGACGCTTCGTGTTGCTAAACAATTCTGGTTGTCTCGTCCTTTTAAACAGTTATACTATCTTTTTTTATAGGGTGAATCTCAGTGGGTTGCCTTTGAGTTTCCACAGCCTGTGAAAGTATCAGAGCTCATACTGCAGTTCCAAGGAGGGTTTTCAGGAAAATCTTGTAAATTAAAAGGTCAGTCAATATAAACAACAGCTTTAAGCGGTAACATCATAGATGGATAACATTTAGAATGACCTACCATGATGAGTTCCGAGGATGTTAAGCGATGGTAGCCCATAATTAACGTTAAACTTGTGAATGATTGACGTTGTTTTGAAGAATAGTGTTTTCTACCGAACCCAATAGAGCTTTGCAAAAAAACAAAACAAAAAAATTATTAACTTAGTATTTGCTTTTTTTTGTTTTATTATGAATAACCGAAATTTTCGTACAGGTCCGTACCTTTTTGGGGGGTTAAAATTGTTCCAAAATACAAAATTTGAGAAAATGCATAACCAGCCAGTGTTCAACGCTATATGGGCATTATGCCCAGCTCCACTACTTCCTGAATTTCAGCCAGCTCCTTGTTTCCTGTCTGCCATACAATTGATTAATTCAGGTGTACCTGACCTCAGTAGTCATGGCAACAATAATCAGACACACCTGAATTAATCAATTTGGCCAATAATGGCAGACAGGAAACAAGGAGCTGGCTGAAGTTCAGGAAGTAGTGGAGCTGGGCATAAAGCCAATTGCCGTAGCGCGATTCAAATCGGTAAGTGGGCTCTATGCACGGCGGTATTTCCGGTGAAGGTTTAAGGATGCTCGATAACTTCCGCCGATCGTAGAGTCTAATGCAATACCGAGAATTTATATTGAATTTTATACTCCATGGTTAACCTAAAGAAACGTTAGTCACAAAAACAGACACCCCTCGTTGTGTTTATGCTTCTTTTTTAAAATTATATAAAATAAACATAACTATGTAAAATTACATCTAAACGTATGAAAGTTTCGTTTCAAAGACGGGAGGACAGTAAATTTTGAAGACTCTGCCATAATTCCGTTTTCCCCCGCTTTAATCTCCCCGACCTGAAACTGTAGAGCATCCTTGCGTCAAATGCGAACTTATTTGTGCATATAGCCCATTCCAGTGGTACTGGTGGATTTTCGCGGGACATTCAAGCATGTCATTACGTCATCTGTACACATAAAAAGGAGTCTCGGACTCTCGGCTAGTGTGTGGATGTTGGAGGCAGAGATTTACGGTATATCAAGTGCTGTGAGAAAAGGCTATAATTAAACTTATCAAAACTTATTTGATGGCGGATCCAGAAAAGTTCAAACGAGAATCCCCAGTGACAACTACATATTCATCCATTGTAAAATGCAAAATGCTTCGTTCGGACTTCGGAGTGGGCGGCTAACGTTAACTTAAGGAAAAAGAGACTGCAACCGGACATATCGAAAGAACACATGTAGTCACACAATGCTGACGTTGTTAACATAATCAATTTGAGAACCAATTATAATTTGCACGGTTTTGCGTGATGATAAGCGATTTTTAGATTTAATCAGCACAATGTCCGAACCAGAACAAAAGTGGATGATACACACTTGTTCAGTTGACATTTTCCGGTGAAAATTAGTATGTTAGTCAATGTCATACTTCCAAAAATAACAATCTGTGATTCTGAATGCCAGGAAAAATTATTATTATTCTTATTATCCGCGCAGTGCGGTGTCGAACTTCAGCTCACGTAAAGTTGATAATTCCGCGAATGACTGCAATTGCAGATTTTGAACAGAGATGGCGACAAAGAGGAAAAAATGGGGACTGCGTCTTTAATGAAACGGAAACGATCGAGACGTTTATACTAATAAAATGGCTTCAAGGACAAGAAAAATGTGTCTGTCACTATCTTGGATTTAATATGAAAATCAGTAACAGCACTCTTGCTTGTGTTTTTTGCTTGGATTTCAAAAAAGGTACATAATGTATTTTGTCGGTAATTATTCTTAAATATTCATATAGATAATAGATATCTAAATATTTATATTAAATATAACTGTGCAAGATTATGAACGTTTTTGTTAAAAGAAGAAACTAAAAATGTGTCACTGTTGTGCTCTAATACAAGTATACTAAAGATTAAGTCAAATAGGCCTTATACAGTTGTGTTCATGAGTTAGAGCCATTAAAATACTTTCTCTTCTACAGGTTCTGCCAAAGAAGAGGACCTCGTACATATTTTAGACTTCTATCCAGAGGACAACAACTGTCTACAAATATCCTTCAGCACCTTCCATTTTTTGCTTCCACTTATAAATGCATTTAATCACCATATTCTATACATATGGAAACTCAACCAGAATTAGTGGAATTCTTTTGTTTTCTGTCCATTCCTAGCCAATGGCCAAATTGCCGTGTCTTCCTTTTATCCCAAGCTAGTCAAATCCTTGATTCTTCACCCACAGCTTTCCCATTCAAAATGCCCCTTTGGTGCAGAGGCTGAAAATAGTGTTTGAAAACAGTGCTGACTTTTTTGGAAGAATAATTGTTTACACTTTGGATATCCTGGGGGAAAAGGTTTTGTAATGTTTTGAGAAAAGGACAGAGAGGAAGTATGAAGAGGCGGGAATGCCAACCAGCTTTCCCCCTTTGTTTTCACCTCTGGATGTGGAGTTTATTCCCACCTACTCACAGGGAAAGCATCAACTGATGTTACTTTCGATCACATCTAATTTCTACAAAGGTTCTATAGATCATTCACGTGCCTTTTTAGGTGAACACACATGAACAGCATGTTTGTAAAAGTGTGTTTTAATTAAAAAAAGTAGAAAAACAGATTGTTCTTTCTTTCATGTCAAAATAAAGCTATACAGTACGCAGGATTATTGTAAGGTCGACAAAGAGCAGTCCTTTGCTTTATGTGTTCTCCGACACGGAAACTGGTCCCCGAAACAGCTTCAGAATGTGATCTTCAAGACTTTTTTGCACTGCAAATGAGTTATCAGTTATTAGTTAATAAAATAAACTGGATTGTTTGTATTTCAGTACACTGTAAGGAATGACTAGCCTTTTTTGTGGCCCAATGCAACAGCAAGGGCAACAGGACTGTATCCAGAGTCAGCCTCGAACGTGATATCTGCCCCACATCCTAAACACAAACTTACTTCAGTTTGTCGTCACAAATAATTAAACAAAATGAATATTTGGAAAGGCTTACTTAGGAGAGCTTCAACACATTTAATGTGATTACCACGAACTGCATAGAGAAGAGGGGTCCCACCATTCTGTGTTTGAAATTGAAAGCATGATTATGAGGTGTACATTTTCTACAGTAATTTGTTTGTGTAAAATAGTTAAGTTGTTCATACCCAGTCATAGGAATCAATCTCAATGTCATGTTGTAGGAGAACATTTACAATATCTGCAAATCCTCCAGCGCTGGCCAAAGACAGGGCACTTTCTCGTTCCCGAGCTAGTGTTCTCGGATCTGCTCCCTAATACAATATAATATCATATAATAATATAATGCCCAGTATCAGTGGCTAAAAAATGTGTTGCTCACCTTCTGAAGGAGAAACTCTACCACCATTATCTCTCCAAATGCAGCAGCCCACATTAGTGGGGTGAAACCTCGCTCATCTTGACTGTTGAGCAGAGAGCCGTCTGCAAGATCACCCATATATGTTGTACATTTATTTCAGCAAGCGTTGGATAACTATATGTTGTTTATTTATGGGTACCTTTGGATAAATGTATCTCCAGTTGTGAAATCTCTCCATGGGCTGCCAGCTGATGAATTGAGAGGTCTACAAGGCATAATTAAAACTCACAATTATGTTCAAAAAGGCTGCATTTCATGCATTTGGAAGGTGGTGAAAGACTCACTATCTAAAGTGGCCGGTCGGACAGTAACCTCATTCCCACGCTGTTTATTCGTCAGAGTGGTCGTGTGGTTCTCGTCAAGTCTGTTTTCCATAACTGATCATTACACCTGCTTTAAAATGTACGCAATTTAGAAAATAAACAATGAATTACAATAGCCTATATTTTTAATACTGATATGAAATAATACAAAATGTGTCTTTGGAGTATCTTACCTTCGATTCCTTACACTTTATGAGCAAATACTTTGATCTTAAACTTCACAGGCTTGTAAGATCACATAACGTTATGCTGCGTTTGTTTCCTGATTCGTTTGCAAAAGTGAAACTGAAATAGGAGACTTGCATGTGCATTGAGCTCAACACAAACCGCACACTAGTGAATCACATCGTATGAAGTACTTTTATCATCATATATATTGTACTTTTTGGCTGCAAACTTAATCGCATCCTTCTAAACAATTAGAGTTGGAAGTGGTTTTCGTGAACAATTCTGTGGTTTTGAATGAATCTTTAAAGAATCGTTCTAGTTGACTCTTTTCAGCGCAAGACTGACTACAGCTGGGGCCAATAGCATTCGAGTGCGGGCTGGGGAAAAGCATTTCATTGGATGGATAAATTGAATCAATACGCCCCCTTCACTGCGTTTTGATTCGGCGCGTATTCGTTATTAGGCTGGGATGATTATGAATCATATGTACAGTGACTTATAATAACCCACTATTAAAATAGCTTAGGAAAATTATTAAAACATATGTTTGTTTGTTTGCTTGCTTGTCTTTTTCAAGAGCTTATGGAGTGAAAGAAAACAAATCTTCTTTTTGTATTTTGTGGGGTAACGCTTATGATGCTTGGTTATATACTCTTTCTGAGATCTAGAGTTGAAAAAATATTACAATAAGACTTATTTCAGTCATGAACGACTCGGTATTTTTAATGAATCGTTCAATGACTTCCTAAATGTTGTAATTTGCAAAAGGGGCAACTGAACGATTCAGTGAATGTATCTTTTTGGTGAGTCAATTCAGAAGATTCGAACTAGTGGCTAGGAACTCGTTATTGGGCTGGTGTTCCTACGGATGATGTTGTGGGAGCACAATCATAGAGATACCAGCGGCGCATTTATAATACAAAAAAATGGAGGATCAAGAAATGCAATTAAAAGTAAAAAGAGGTATCCTGGCTAGATTAGGAATTCGTGTGCATGTTTCATAACTTTTAATTTACATGACACAGCTTACTAGACGCATTTTATGTGTTTGTCGTCAAAAGTCTGATTTGTTATGAACCTATTAAGAGATGCTGATTCCTCGTTTTCTTTATTTCTTCTACAGTGACTGATAAATTCACAGAGAGTATGTATGTGTTGGCCAATGAACCGTCTATAGCGCTTTATAGGTTACAGGAGCACGTCAGGAGATCCCTACCAGAGCTCGTGCAACACAAGGTGCGTTTCATTGATATTGTTCAAACTATATCCCCAAATTACATGATAAAAAACTGTTGTTGCATTACACATTTTAGGTAATCTGATTACTTTTAGACTATTTGTAGCCTAACTTGTTTATTAAATTTAAATGAATAGTATAATCTTGTTACATCATTACATAAAGTAATGTAATACATTACGTCAGGGTCTACCTAACTAGGGAAGGAAACGCATGGGGTTCATACATTTATAAAACCTAATAATTAATTAAATAAGGGGAGGGGGGGGGAGGGGGGGATAAATAAGCAGCCCTTAATTTACCATGTAATTATAGTCACCTGGCCGGTCTGTGTGTGCAAAAAAAAGGAAAATTTTGAAAAAAAGGAAAATGTAATATATATACACGCATATAATTACACAAACAACCTCATTTGTGTTTAAGCAACTATTGTGTACTTTTGTGTACTCTTCTGTGTTATTTATTGGCTTGTATTTATACTTTTATTTCTTGTAGAGCTTTGTGTATGAGAAAAGTATATTATATATAAAATTAAGAATAAAATATTATTAATATTTTGTCTGCCATCTACATTATTTACCACTTAAACACATCCTAAGTACGTCCTAAGCTGTCTTTAGTGTTGTAATGAATTATGAATTGGTAGACAGACATGCAGAGCTGGGAGGAGCAGAGTCAGGGAGCAATCTACACTGTTGAATATGCATGCAGGTAAGAAATTGATTATTGATTTTTCAAATTGATTATTCATATAATGTACATACTTCATGGCTGTTTTCCTTTCAGTGCGGTTAAAAGCATGACAAACAGTAGCCTCTATTTCAAGAACATAGATGGTCTTCTGCGCCAAGCCATTTCACTGAAGGAACAGATGAGCAGCTCGCAGGGACGGAGGTTGTACTCACTATCCATTTTAACCCATTGCAATGAAACACATTCACTATTCTTTTCCTTTTTTGTGTAGTTTTATATATCACTTGTTAAATGTAAATGTGACATTTTCATGCTTTCATTTTTCTTTGATTGCTTCACTTTTAAGTTGCTCACTTTTTCTGTTTTTGAACATTCATGTGGCTTCAGTGCTGTGAAACCTGAAATTAACCCAAACGATACACCCACACACACTTCAGTCACACCACCTTGACTCATGGAAGTCTTTCTCCAAGGTTAGTTTTGCTTCATTTTTGTTTCTTTCTACATCAGTGTTAATAATAATTTGGTGGTTTTTATACAAAATTGTTAAAAGATCAGAAACCTCATTGTTTTTCAGATTTATTATGACACCAATTTATTCTCCCACATTTAATTTATTATCTGGTAATGTCATTTTTCATCACATCTTAATTTTTATAGTTGTATTTTTCCATAGCAAATCATGTTTACTGTAGTGCATTGAATAAACAATTGTATTTTAAGCGAAAGGGAAAGAAAAAATTATCCAGTTACTGCAACACGCATTCAAGTGCACAAAGTATTTCAGTAGTAATTTCACAATATTATTTTAAAATCTGTTCGTGTGATTTCTAACACGTAAAAGGTGATAATAGGTGCACAATTTTTTTTTTTTTTGCATATTTTGCTTTAAATGTCACAAATAATTTGTCCGCCTTCTAAGACAATAGTGTATAGACACGCAGCATTTATATATACATATATATATAGTGCACATCTTGACACAAAAGTGGATGTGATACTACTCAAACTAAAGTTGAATCCTTGACCGTGGCTTTGCGAGCTATTACAGATCTCATCTCGCTGTTGACGCCATTCCAGGGTTTTGCCTGAGTGTGAAACAGGCCGGACTCTGTTGAAAAGGTCCGGTGTGTCTGTCCACTCCCACCGCCTCTGTACCCATCCTTATCGCTAGAGTGAACGTGAGGCCCGTTGATTGGCGAGTACAACGATTTAGGATCGATGTGAGCGGGGTTGATGTAATGTCTATGCAGGTTGGCTAAGCTGTGTTGCCTCATTGGCTTTTCTGTATGGATTCCTGGGCTGTTTTCAGGGTAGTTGTGATACATGGTGTGGGTATGTTCGCTGCGGAAGGATTTGGCTGTATGTGCGGCCCGTATTAGGGCGTGAATCACGATAAGTAGCAGGACGAGAACACCAGAGGAGAGCACACACACACTGGCTATGCCGGTCTCAACTTCAAACACCAATATCATGTAAACAGACATGGCTGTGAAGAAGGGAAAAAAATAAGATATATTAATGTCAAATCACTCCATACTATGACTTCTGAATGATGAATATAAACTAATGTGTTTTTTGCTTTACAGGAAAAGAACTTTGGATTCTGGCATGCTTAAGGATGGAGAAAAGCACAGCTCTGGGATATAAACTTGATCACTGATGAAGAACTGAAACCATATGCCATATTGAGTTGGTGCCACCACCACGTCATATTGATGATGATTGCTACTCTAAATATGAAAGGCTGTTTATACCTCTAGTTAAAAAATAAAAAAAGTTCATTCTGAGTTTAAATATGAAACAAAGTCACATTAAGAGATGTAAAGTCACAGTTGGGAAATATAAACCTGCAAGTGCAAGAAAAACAAAAAAGCAAAATTAATTTGACATTGTAAGATATGAAGTCACATTATGAGATTTAAAGTCACTTTGTGAGATGTGAAGTCAGAGTTGGGAAATTTAAAAAGTTGCAACTGTGAAGAAAATATCACAGTTTTATGAGATTTAATGCCACATTGCGACATTACAGTCACAATTACAATCGCAGTTACCACTTTTTTATTTACTTTTAGGTGGAAATGGCCTTCCATACTAAAAAGCCAGAAAAGAAAAGGAAAAAAACGACATCTTTTTGTATAAAAGATGTAAGGATTGGTGTATATTCATAAGCTGCTTTGGGGGATATTTTGCACTATAATTCCACTTGTTCTAACTATGTTCTGTAAATGTGTGTATTCTGAGTCTAATAATTAAAGTTTTTAGTATAACTCATGTCTGACTTTCCTGTCGTTTGTCATGTCCACTTACCAGCTAAGTAAACTGAAACTCCAAGGCAAAACAGCCCAATGTTCACATGCCGGACAGCCCTGCTATCCGACAAAAACCAGTCGGCCCTTGGAATAAAAGCAAAAAACAAAATAGATCACTTCTAGTTGTGTGGACTAGTAGCAGGGCCTAAATTTGCAAAACAAATAGAGAGATATCAGTGACCTGCTAGAAAACATAAAGGAACTATTCATGCTGCTCTATACTTTGATGAATTGGAAGTAATTTAAAATGTACAAACCTGGTTTAGGCTATATCTTGGAAAAAGGTTCAGGAGCTTAATATGAAATACCAAGGTCCAGTAACCTAAATGGCAATTATGTTTGATATACAATGGCCCCTAAAGTGTTTGGACACCTGATCCACAAATAAGTTGAACTAAATTCGCTTTCCTGACTTTCATGTGATTTTTAGTAAATGTATGAAGTAAATTTACCTCAAGTTCACTCAGGTGTGATTCATCACATGTAGGCCTACTATGGAAATGTTCCACTAAAGTTAGACAACCACAAATGTTGTCATTTTCAGATGATTTTTGTGTAGAGTTACTAAAATTTTAGACCTATAACAAACTCTTTTTTTGGAGGGGCATTGTTTTGTTTGAAAAGTGAGCTTGTACTATCGTTCTTCCGAATAAATGTCACTTTGTTCGACAACTCGCATATTAAGTAACTACACAAGTAAGTTTCTCCATTACCTTTGTGTATCTGGTTCTCCTCGACATATTTCGGTAGCGAAATAGCTGTGAAGCAAACACACAACAACTGAGCTCAAGTTGAGTGTCAGAGACAAGGCTGAAAGGACAGTAGAAACGGGCAATAACACCGCTGTGATCTCACTCGACACGAAAGTAGGCGAATCTTTTATAACAACCTGATGCGTTTGGAGCTGGCAAATCAAAATGACGGATAACACGGACATTATTGCGGATAAAATCCCTAAAAACGCGAGCACCACGAGAGAACGCTGACTATAGGAATGCGTCATGTCCGACAGTGGATAAATGTCCGATTTACTCCACAAACAAACACCGATAGTCCATAGTTCTGTTGTGGGGTTTCTTGAGGCGAAAAACAAACGATGCGCGAGAGGCTGCTGTGGAATGCGCGTGCTCTCGTGCCGCTGTTGTTCAGTCAGAGCATGTGATCCACTTTAAATCCCCAGATTAAACACATTTCATGCAACAATGCACTTTTTATTTGGATTTATTCGTGTAAGAAGCCATACCGCAACTTATTCGTCCTACAATTATTTGTCCGTTGAAAAGCAACGTTTTATTATCCAGTGCATGCAGCAGGTGTAAAGCACTAATAATAAAAGTCTGTATGCTTGCATCAGCATCAGCGAAATTTAGGACAAAAATAGTATTATTATTTAATTTTTTTTATTACATATTGTATTATATTTTTATTATGTATTTTAGCAGTTCTTAACATTTATATGAACAGTTAGTGTTGTTTGTCAACACCGGTAATCGAGAATATGGTCGAATTTCCCATATTTTACTTGTGTTTGTACTGTATATGAATGCAGTGTAATTTAAAAAAAAAACATTAAAAACTTTATCAGCAAATAAGTTTATCTCTATTTTTCTAAACCTAGCATGTCTCATGACTATTAACTTGCTAGAATGCGAAAACATTTTTGCTCAAATGGGCCCATTTGTATGACAAGATATTAAGAATGATTATTTTGCACAAAAACACACCATAAAATAAGGTTGCTGTACTATTACATTTGTATGTATAATCATCTTTGATCTATGTCATTTCAACTTAAATTACAATAAACTGACTTAAAATTAGTTGAAACTTGTAGGAACTTGTAAGAAAAAAGATGGAAATTACTTATTTTGAAGAGTTAGGCTAAAGCAATGTGAAAACATATGTTGTCAACTTACTGATCATCTCATTTTTTAAATGTACAATCTGTATGTTCAATGTAATTTAAAATTGGCATATATTTCATTTCTTCAGAAGTCATAATCTATTTAAGCTTACATAGCAAAAAGGTGAAACGTTGCTTATTACCTCAATGCACAGGTGGGTTTTTTTTGCTCAGAATGGGCTGATGGGAACTCGAGGTCTGCCGCTGTGCTTAACGTGATAACGTGACACTAAAAAAAAACATTGCCTGAAGAATCGCCTATACATGAACGCTGACCAGAGATGCTATTTCTGAATTCGAGAGACTCACCACATGTACAAAAACTTAGGCCACTGATGTTGTCAAAAGCAGAAGTGAGAAGTTTCAGGGGAAAAAAAGAAAACAAGTTGACACTTGACACTTTCCAAAGTTTCCTTTATTTAATTGAGACCCAGTTATTTTGGGTATAATATAACCAATATACATTTATTATGCACTTTACGCAAAGTGTTTACACCCCACTGCCAGGACCACAAAGAACTGGTTTGATGCATATAATGATGCGTTAGAATCCAGAGGTCATAGGCTATATATGAGAGTCTTATTATGATTCATGATTATTTGAACTTTCTCACCTAATGCATTTCTTAATCAGAAAGAGCTTAATAAAGAGTTAATAAAGGTCTGTTGGCATCCATGGTTCCAAGAAGAAGTTTTAACAAACATGGAACCTTTCCATTGGACCAAATGTTCTATAGATGTGAAAAAATTGTTATTTTAAGAACTGTCCAGTGAACGGTTATTTCTTCAGAATTAAGGTTCTTTATTGGCATCTAAGGTTCCGTAAAGAACCTTTAACATCCATGGAAAATTTCATGGTACTTAAAAAGATTTTAAAAATGTTCTTCACACAAAGACATTTTTCATTCTTTTGAGAACGGTTCACTGAAAGGTTCTCTTGGGAACCCAAAATGATTCTTCTGGCATCATGGTGAAAATGTATTTGGAATTTGGTCCATTTTTTCAGATAAGCCATATTCAATATGCCTTTTAAAATCAATGTTTTTATGTATTCTCTCCAGACTGAAGGGAATACACTGAGCTTCCTGCAGTGGGGATGCTGAGGGACTGTCGGGAGCATGACATGAGTTTGCTAATTCTTGCATCAGATGACATGCAGATTAAACTCTCGGTGGGGAACTAAAGCCTCTGAGAAATGCTGAGAGATATCATATTAGTAACCTCTTCACAGCATGTACAGATATACATCTCATTGTCACCTTTTATGGGAAGTAGCCAGTGTAAGTCTGCTAAGATATTTTACACTATATGCAAAAGTTGCATTACATATTGAGATGAAACTGCAAGCAATGAAGTTCTGTCCTTTATGAAATTCTGAATATATGGTGAATATTTTATATAAGCCTATATGATGATACAATACTGTAAATAAAATAAAATAGCCTATTTGGAATTTCAGATTAATTTTAATAATGTAAATTGTTAATAAGAAAATAGATTTTTCATGGGAAAGTGTTATATACATACAGTATATTTATGCAATAAAACTACTTATTTATTTCTAATTTAAAAAAAAAAATTGAAGCAAATTTGACAGGTCAAAAACTAGAGGTCCCTCCAGATATTATAGGGTGTCAGTGGATAAAATATATAAAATATCTTAAATAACTAAAATACATCAAATAAAATGAAATATAGCCTAGATGTATATACAGTAGATTATTAAAACAATATTAGCCTAGGCTATATATTATCACAATATCCTTTAATTAATAAAATATAAACATACTAACATTGTTTCATAACGGTTTCCTCACGTTTCAAATTAATTTCTGCCAAACTAAATAACCCTATCTGTTCTTATTAAAGTTATTATAAAGTGTTGCTCAGAAAATTAGCTTTTGGACTTTACATAGCCCGCCAATATTGTCATAAAAAATAAAACTTTTGCCTTTGTAAATCTAGATTTTGACTTTTTTCAGGTCAGTTTACTCCTGGATAGCTATGGTCTTGTCTCGATTGCGTAATTTTTATTATTTTATGGCAGAGAACGGGAACAAATAAAAGAATAAGCATAAGTCACATAATTTCCGAAATACATTTTACTGGTTTAGGGAATTCATTTCAAAGTGTCGTCATGACGATAGTTTGATATGCTAAACGACAGTGTTCTTATGGAGAGAGAGCTAGGCTAGTTTTTTTCTTTTCGCTGTTTCACTTTAACTACATCTTTAGTTTAAATATAACCCTTGTACGCTTAATATTTAAGTGTCCGTTTAGAGTATCGGGTGAGGTTTTCATTAAATGAATGACAGAATAAAAGTGATGGCGTCTTTCTTTAGCAGCCACTGAAACTCGACAGAGGCGGGTTAGAAAAAAAGAGCAGGCGAAGATGATGGGCGTCTCTTTCAGCCAATGGAAACGCCAGAGGGGCGTGGCATTTTCTGAACGATGACGCTACTGTAGGAACAGCTGGAGATGATTGGCGTCTCTTTCAGCCAATGGAAACGCTGCGGGGGCGTGGCATTATCCGCATGATGCTGTTACAGTAAGAACAGCTGGAGATGCGCTGTTGTCAAAAAGAGCTCGACGATCATCAGGTGATGTGAACTCAGCCAACTCATTCACATCTTCTTTTGCTGACTGGCGACGCTGTTCACAACGACTCAACCGACTTTAATTGTCAAAACCAGGTGAGATATATTATTATTTTTAAATAACTAAGTTATAGTTAAAACCTATTTATATATAGCTAGCTATATTTTTGCGTTTAGTCTTACATTTGAGTGACATAGGAGAGTTATTGTGTTGACAGGTTGGTGGTTGAACAATAGGTTGAACTATTTATATTAACATTTGATGTTTATATCTACAATTAAATATTTAAAGTATAGAAGATAAGCACAAAAACAAGGCCTTTCGTTCACTCGTTAGTTCTAATCAAGCCACCATCCACGTGTTACCTTGAGAAACTAATGCAGAATGTTTTATTTATTATTACATAACGTGTTATGAACGCTTTTTTGCCTCAACACATTTGTACAGATGTGCAAAATATTTATTTATGTTGGCAAATCAACTTATATTGCATTCTAAAAGTAAAATTTTGTAGTATACAATGCGCACTCCTTGGGAATCAAACCTAGCACCTTGCAGTTGCAGGCTTTGCCATTAGAACAGCCGAAAGGTCAACCAAAAGGTGAAATCCTGCGCAAAACACTTATGTGTCATCTAATAGATGTTCTTGCAACTGGATGTAATTTTAAACCCCAGGGACCTTGCTGCATTTTGCAAAATACAGAAGCCATACGTTCAGCGCACATCTTAAAATTGGCTTTGTGCATGTACTCCAGCATAATTGAAGTGTTTTAACAATAATACGAACAATAATATTGTGCCATATAACCATTTAGAAAGCATATAGCCTTCTGTTTGCTCCTTGTGCTTCTTAGACCGTTTGCTCTTGTAGTTTGGTATGCAAATATATGTCTTACTTACTATTTTTGGCTCACCCAGGTTTCTCATCCCACCGATGCATTAGCTTCAGCCACCAACAGCTGAAATATCTGTAAGCTACAGGTGCCAGTTGCATGTGGTTTTGAAACAGTTTTGGCGTCCATTCTAGAGCTCATTTAGTTGCGTTCCCCAGCTCCAACAGGTTTGACTTGTCTCCACAAAAGGTGTTTGTTGTTGGAGCTCTGGTGGTGTTGTCCCCATGAGGGACCCAGAAATTAGTTCCCTCCGGCCCCAAAGCGAGTGCTATAACACTGCCTCTGTTTGTGTGGATTCTTTTCCACTGTCTGGCCTCTGGGATAATCGCACAGGAAGCTGAATGTACACCGAGGGCAGACAGGATCCAGAGGTGCAATAGTTGCATTATTACGAACTACATCTTTTCTTTTCTTTTTTTAAAAAGTATTTTTCATGTGCAATCCAGCTGAATCAGTAAATTACACCTGATTTTTTTTCTGTATGCAGTAGCTAATTGAGCAACATCCTTTTTTTAACAATTTGTCACTATTTAATTGTGTTATCTATTTAAATTAGTACAATTTTCTCAATGCATTTGTTTTAGCGTATAGCATTCACCGAATCCACCGAATCGTGGATTTCCAGTTCCCAGCTTGGTTAGAATGTTTTTGTTGCATTTTATTATAAGAACATATATCTAAATATATAAATCATATATAAGAAAATAGCATCCAAAATAAAAGTTTGTGTTTATGTGGGTGCACTGTGTATAATTATTTTGTATACATATAAATACACACAAAAAAAGAAATTATTATTTATATGTAAAATATGTATATTTATA